TGCAGGGTACGTTTCGTGTAAGCAGTGAGTTGATACCGTGTGTGTACAAACCAAGCAGAATCCTCCCCCTTTGTAATGACCGATAGAGTTGTGCACCCCGCCGATGTGAATGTTTAAAAGACAAAAAAAAAAAAGAAAAAAAAGTCACAAAAGCACACAATTTACTCCCAAATATGTCTGTTGTGACGTTCCCAGGTGAAGTAGCACTGAGATGCCTCGGTAAAACTCATACCACTCTGACCCTTGATGCCATCTAGACGTAGGATGTGGATCCATTGCTTTGTCTGCAAACTCCATCCTCATTCCATTACGCTGACTGTAAACCGGCTGCCCCTGGGTGCGGGTCTGCCCGTAAAGCAGAAAAAAGACGTTAAAAAGTTTTGTTAAACAACTCCAAAGTGTGTCAAAAAGAAAGAAAAAAAAAAAAAGGTGGCAAAGAAAGCACCGTTGCCCAAATGTCATCACACATTTTTCCCCCATCCCCATGTACAGCCTCATGTCAGATAATGGGAGAAATTGAAGTAGCGAACGTACAGTGCAAGCACCCAGTTTGTAACAAATCTCGTTAGCGTCCCCCGATTTTCCTTCTCCCTTTCTTTTCCTTTGTCGATCAGGTGCGTTACGAAAAGCTCAAGGTTGTTCCTCACGCTACTTCACACGATTCAAGTTCGAAGTAAGAACACCACGCACAGTGTTGGGTATTTCTCCCCCCTCCCCGCCCAATTGATTTGATTTCTTGGGTTAGTTTTTCCTGGAGACCAAAGCCACACACTTTTGCCCCTTTTCATCCAGCTTACATTGTTCTCGGGTGGAAAAAAAACCCCAGTGTTTCCTCTAAGCACACCGATACAGTTGTGTGAAGTTGTGGTGGTTTGTTTCCCTCTTGTCTTTATTCCCTATAAAAAAAAAAAAGAGAGAAAAAAGCGTATACATCTGCTTAAACTGTGAAATAATGCAAGCACTTGTTGTAGCAAATTAGAGGGCTTTTCGTTACAGGTTTAATTGCATTCCAGAAAGGGGTTTTCACATAAAACAATATCCAGTGATGTCTTTTATGCCTTTTCGTCGCTGTTTTTAAATGTTTGTGACGGGACCCTTATGGTCCTTGCACCTTCTGCGGCTTAACTTTACCACGAAATCATAAAGCTGGGATATTCCCCCCCCCACCCCTTCGATCAAAGGTCCGCTATCGGAGCTTGAAAATGTTAACTGGTCTGGCCGAAATGTTTTTAGTTCGGGGAGAGTGGAACCTCATAGCATCGATTTCCCCCCCCTTAATATATTCAGTTAGTAACTTTGTTCTGTTATTTTACTAAAGGTACGTACATGTTAAGCTCTGTGCTTCCACTCTTGATCCCGGAAGAATCCAAACTGGTTTTGGATTGTCCGCTGCTAACGGCATAAGCGATTTTTTTATCCGTACCAAGATGAGTTGGAAAGGACAGATGTGGTAGAAAAGAAAGAAAATAAGCTGCCGGGAAACTTCAGGTTAATCTTCTCCCTTTTGAGGGACGGAAGAACCAGGAATTGTTCGAACCTCAGGAGTTTTCAGGGATTGTACTCCCAAGTTTACAGGAGTTGTTGACTGGTTCCATAAAGCGAGGAGTATTTTTTTTTAATATAGTTAAATATTAGCAGTAGGAGTCAAACTTCTTGTCTGGGGCTTTTCCTTGTGCCTTGCTTCCCCTGACCCATTTTTAATCGGGCTTAAACCTCCTCTTGGTGCTCACGATTTGCTAGAGGTTACCTTTTAAATCGTGCAAACATGCAGGCAGGCGTTTTAACATCCGTGCCGTGAGTAACTCCCTGGAAAATCGGAGCAACTTCTGATAGAGAAGCAAAGCACCCGCCAGGAATTTTTTTTGCAGGGACGGGGTGGTTTGTTTTTTTTTTTTCTAGGGGCATAATTGTTCGGCTGAGGCTCCTTGGGTCGAGCGAGGCTTTGTTGTACCGGGTTAAAGGAAGGGCTAAGGCAAATCCTAGACCCCGGCAGCTTTTTTTTTTTTTCGGGGCCTGGGACGTATCCCGTTGCTGTGGCATCAGCCGTGCTGTGGCAGCGAGGACGTCAGCGCTCGGCGTTAGGATTTCACTGCAGGATTCGGATAGGAGGAGCGGGAAGGAGCTAACCTGCGAGCGGAGAGGACGTTCAGAATTAGCAGCTGAATCGAGCGCGTTCCCCGAGAAACCTTGAGTTGTGACCAAATAGCGCTTGAAAGTTTCCCTTAGTATAAACGTCGCTTAAAAACACGGGTTTTAGGGATCTCAGGAGGAGGATTTTCCCCGATTACAGCCAGGAGTGGGCTAAAGGGATCTCTCTCCAAGCCTCTTATAAGTTGGTACAGCGTATTTGTTACCGCAACGGGGAAAAAAACCCAACCCCAAAACCCAACTATATGGAAGATACAAAAAGCTGATAAATTTTAATGACTTCTGCCCCAGTCCGCGCAGTTTGAATGAGGCAGCGTGGCCCCGCTGCCTTCAAAGCGGTGCTTCTTTTATTTCTTGATTGATGTATTTCCCCCTGGTTTCCACTTGGAATAAAATGGAAGGCGGCCGCACCGGCGGGCCGGAGGAGAGCTTAGTTCCTTTGGGATTATTCCGGAATAATCAGTGTTTTGGTGAAAGAACAGAGGTCTCGCTGAATGATTTTCTCCGGTGCGGAGCGTGCAGGTGTGATGCTGGGGTAGGATACGTTTCCTCCGAGCAAGTTGTGGGCGAGGCAGTAAACTTCTGCTGAAGCGTTAAATGTGTTGATTAATGACCTTTAGCTGGATGTAGCGGTCACTCTGAGAAGCCTGGCCTTGTATTTTCGCTAGAAAACCTTAAAATGAAGAGAATGAGCAAAAACTACGTGTCTGTCCTAAAAAGAGCTAAATTCCGCTTAAAAGCAGCGCAATATCCCCGCCCTGTTGCACACGCGGAGGGGTCCGGTTTTAAATCCTGCTCCGAAATAGCTTGCGGAGGGGTGCTCTCAGCCGGGACGATCCGCTCTCGCCCCAAAAAAAAAAAAACCCACTCCCCCCCCAGCTCCGCCCGTTGGT